ATATATATATATATATATATATATATATATATATATATATATTACAATATACATATATACATGTATTCTTTCGAATCCCCACGACCGGTACTTCAGAGAGATGATGGTCCTATTCTCTCGATGGATGCAGGACTGCAACGGCGACACCCTCCAACGCCATTGGCAAATATACAAATAATCCTCCTGGAGCACGACAGGAGAGATTGCATCAAGCATAAAAAGCATATAAGGAATTTTATTGTATTAAACACGTACTTTGTAATTAAGCTAATAAAATCTATATTTTTATTTTTCAGTATCGTACGAGCAGACAGCAATTACATATGTGTGGAAAAATGATGAGGGAACGTTACGAACAAGTCCAAGCCTGCAAGCATTAAATGCGTATCTCATTAAAAATCAGACAATCACATGTCCGATCAAAGTGAGCTGGCGAGGTAAGCAAAATATTAATATGCATCTTCTATAAATTTGTTAATAAAAAATGAAATTTAAAATTAGACAATCTGATCCAAGCATTACAAAAATGTTATCAGATATGCATTTTATAGTATTTTTTACATTTTTATATATTGTAAAGATTAGTGAAATTTTATTTTCCTTATATTATTTTTTATTTCATTAATTTATTGCTAAATTTTATAATTTTTGTATAAGAATTATTAATTTAATTATGTAATTAAAACTGTCAATATAAATATATAATATCGCTAATTTATGTTTTTCATGCATTTAAATATTATCAATTCCTTTCGGTTTTATTATAAACAACAAATATAACGTTGTATTTAATAATTAGTAGACGGACTGATATATACATATGTATATATGTAGAGGTAAAAGATCTAATTTTATTCGATGCTGTGATGACAATGTAACACTCTATAATAAAACTCGCAGATATCCGTAAAACTCATAGATATTCAAATATTCGCTCATATTCTTTCTGACCCAGACTGTGCTTTCCACGCAATTCGCCTTTTATTTTCACATTTATTAACATGTGCACGCATTTTGGAACACACACATACAAAAATATTTCGCATTTTCTGACCAAGTGCGACGTCGGAACCTTATCTTTAATTTTTCGCAGCTAACAATTTAAGGCGCTTTGTGAGACACTTTCCGCCGATCCGCGAATCTTTGATGACTGCCATTAAAAATCTACTAATCCGCGTTTCAAAAATTACCGACTCCATACTCGTCTATCCTGCACGAATATCTGCTTCGGATATCACACGTTTTTTTCCGAAAAATCGTCTAAATCGTTTTTCACGAATCCATGACTTCATATAATTCGCTGTCATCCACGTTCTCGCTGGCCTCTCATGCGTTCCCACCTTATCCACTATCGGTCGTTGCGTAATTTTTTGTAGACTACGTTCAAGAAATTTATTTCCTAGTTTTAAATCTGGTCCGCGCTGTGTACGCCAGATCGTCCTCGAAATATTCTCTCGACCCCTTTTTTGTTATACCCTCTTTTATTCTTCTTTTGGAGCGCTGAAATACTTCCTCTAGCACACTGTAGATCGTCACGTTCGTCAATAACTGCTGGATCCATTCTTTTTCCAACAATTCGTGTATCTTAAGATCGTCTCGCAACCTTGCGTCAGTTCCGAATAATACTCGAAACGGATTTGTACTTATGCTTCGATGCAACGTTGTATTCAAACATTGTTGCGCTAAATCTAAACGTTTGTACCACTCGTTAGGTTTTAGATTAACAAGTTTTGTTAATAAAGGTAGGAGTGTTTGATTCAACTTGTCCATTCGCTCTTGGAATATCTGTCGTGACCAGCTGAATCTTTTTCTCTGCGCAGTCCGCAAATTCTTTGGAGGTGAACGCTGTCTCGATCAGAGATAATTTGGAGCGGATTCTCATTAATAGCGCCGCGTACCAACGCCTTAGAAGAAATTAACAGATTGAAAACGCAACTAATTGTTTTTTCAATCTGTTAATCATTTTTGCTGCGCCGGTACTTTTCGTTATATATAGCCATACGAATTTAAAGAATGCATCGACTACCAGAAAAATATAGTTATGATTCTTTTTCATAGACGGCAACGGTTCAAGGTGATTGATGTGAAATATGTCTAGCGATGCCTCCTCTTTATCTAACGTATTATCGCGCTTCCGCGGCGGTCACTAGCACACTCACTCACGCGACACGCGTAAATAGAGATCGTTTATAAAGAACGAACTTTAATAAGCACAATTAATTACACTGTTCGTGATACAATCTCGTGCTCTCAATCCGCTCGCGCGTCACCTCTCAAAACTGTCTTTCACGAATCTCCCTCGAATCTTTTCAATCAATAAATCAATAATCCATAAACAATGGCGCGTTGACAAGGAACGATCTTCTCAACATTACTCGGGGACCAAAAACGATCGGACCACCGCCACAACACTGCCATCCTGCTCCGCAAAATTGTCGTCCCGACAATTCTCTTCAGGAACTGCTCTGCAGAAAGTGGCCTCCTTCTCTTCTTTGATAAAGATCTTTGATAAAGATCAGGGTATCAGACGGTTTCCTGCCCTATCCTGAGCTGCTGCTACAGATTATCGAGCGCCGAGATACTCCTGGTCCCAATCTTACACCCTCTTGGAAGTACTGAGCCGCTGCAGAGATTCGTACTTCTTTCTTGATTTCTTTTTTCCTTTTTTTGAATCTTGTTCTTGAGTGCTTCTTTCTTGAATCAATCTTTAATTTTGAGTTTTGTATGTTTCTTTCTTGATTTCTTCGGACAAGGAGAGGGGAGGGAAGATATCTATCATAGATCCA